GATGTGACATATCGCGACATCAACGTTTACAACCCCCTCAACATCACCCATCCTCTGACCGATGAATACCTCGACCCCGAGACTCGCTCACCAGTGGGAGACGGCAAGGTCGACTCTGTCAACATGCTCTTACCCCAAGACTGTGGCGGTTTCAATCTGGGCTCATTCATGGTGCGAAGAAGCGCGTGGACCGACAGGCTGCTTGACATCTGGTGGGACCCTGTCGGCTACGAACAAAAACATATGGAGTGGGAGCACAAGGAGCAGGACGCTTTCGAGTACATGTACCAGAATCAGCCCTGGATCAGGCCTCACGTCGCCTTTATCCAGCAACGCCAAATCATGAGTTTCCCACCAGGCGCATGCGGTGAGAATGGCGACAACCCCGATATCCACTACCAAGAGCAAGATCGCGACTTTATGGTCAACATGGCTGGCTGCGAATGGGGTCGCGACTGCTGGGCTGAGATGTACAAATACCGCCAACTCAGTAACCATCTGAATCGCACACCCTGGGAGAAGTTCAAGGACGGCATTTCGGACTTCTTTAAGAGTAGGACCAAGAAGGAGGAGAAGAAAGAAGAGAAGAAGAACTAGAGATTTCACGAAACATGGGGGTTGGTTTGGATGAACTGGAACGCATTTCGATATATTTTGGATTTCCCTAAGCCTGCGGCTCGGCTTACGATTTTGTTATAATACCCGCACGCATAGAGGAGGATGTATGACAGTGGTATGATATCTGCATGGATCGGAGTCGATGTTCCATACCTGTACGATACGAAATTGACTTTCGGCGAACTGGACACCGAGCTGGACGGTGTGTTTGCATCTCATTCGTAGGATCGCTATTTGTATTGCAAGGTCTCCCCAGTTGTTCATACCAAGCCTGTGACGTACTCCAGAAGTAGTATGGGGATCAAGGAAAGAAGAGCTTGAAGTCGATACAGATGAGCGAACCTACAGCATGCGGTATTGGAGGACGCGAATCTCCTGCAAGACGTGCACGGGAGAGCTGGCCTCCCTTGTCAAGTCCATGTCGAAGAAGAACAAAGTCTACGTGGCGCAACTCGACTCGCTTCACACCCCAGATAATGACGTTATAGATAGCGTGTGGTAAACAAGCGTCGAGGAGGGTGGAGTGATGATCGATCTGTATAGACTTTCGCATGGTTGTACGTAGCACTGAGAGATGAGGCTGCGCGACTACGCGACCATGTCTTGCATACCGCAGACCACAGGGCATATGCGCTCAGGAGATAGATGCGCATGTCCTGGATAAAGGCAGGTGAGCACGTCTAGACTCGCCAGGCTTGGACAGGAAGGGGAGTGAGCGACGTCTGATTCGTCCGTCACCCACACCTACTGCCAATGGTCATACGCCAACGACCAGACGGGACACGGGGTCAGGAACGAGCAGCCGTCTACGTACTCCAACCTCGACCTCGCGATATCTCTCCTTACATCAACTCGTCTCCTTCTGCTTGCTACTTTCGCTCTCGGTCGTGTTCCTTCGCGCCCCGCCCAAGGCGATTACAGTGATCTCCGCTTTCCACCCTTCCCCACGAAACGTCATTACGCCCAGACCCTGGCCGTGCGCAAGTTGGGGAGCCCGTCTACATAGCGTCAGCTCGTCCGCGGCCTTAGCCTTATCTCCAACGACGACTCGCAGCGTCGCCGCGACAGGATTCGGTGGCTCTGGGTGCCGTGCCTTGTTTCTGGGCTCCGATAAGCTGTTTCAGAGCTGCGCTGGCCTTTCTTGCTTCAATCAACAAGCTGCAGCGTTCCCAGTCCTAACAAAGAACCGAAGTCGGAACGGCCCTTGGGATCCACTTGAGCGCATACCTCCACACCACCGGTCAACCTAGGGCTCGGGGATATAAGGACTATTGCTGAGGTCCAGCGCCGCAGAGCTCTTTGCAAGGCTCGAGTTTGTGAAGGTCAGGGTGCGATGCACGATCACCGTCCACCGCGAGCAGGCAGACAGAACATAGGGGCCGACGACGCGAACCACCAGGACCAAGCCATGCCGCCTTCTCGACATGTCGCTGCGTCTTCAAGGCAACGCTCAGAGGGTATGACACTTTCTCTTTCAACACTTCACTGCATCTGTACGTCGAGCTATAGCTGACACATCGTACACAGAGTCATGGATTGATCTCGCATCGGCGCCTTCGTCCACCTCCCTATCATCTGCGACCGACGAGATCATCACAACGGGCCTCACGGTGCAGCACGACTCCAACGCGCACAGGCGGCCCAATAGGCGCTCACGAGGCGGCGGTCAGTTCTCAATAGGGACTGGACACCGCATCACGGCGGGAGGAAACAGTAGTCAGGAGGAGTATGAAGAGAGCGAAAGCGAGTCAGACAGGGTCATGACATCCTCCAACGAGGCTATCGCTCCGTCACCTTTGAGGCAAACTCCGCAGTCTGTCGCGTCTTCGGAGACCATGTCTGAGAGGGAAGATGACGACGATGAGAATGCGACGGCGGTCAACTACCCACGGTCCTCAAGACGGGAGTTCCAGCCACGGCCAAACGCCTTCTCGCACCCGAACAACCAACAGGCTATCCGGTCGCAGTCAGGCACCCTGTACACACCTCGCAGGAACGTGAGGCCGGCTGGACAGCGACAGCACTCCTACCCTCAGCATAACCCTTACAATGCCATGGCACCCAACTACCAACCCGACCACGACGAGGCTCTCCGCGCCAGCCTATCCACGTTGCTCTCGGCTGCCGCCGCTGTGCGTGGCCTCCCGAAGCCAGGCCAACCGCGCGCGAACACTCCCTCATCCACCCGAGTCGATCCATCCTCCCTCCGCATGGTCCCAGAGTCCGTGGCCTTGGGCAACATATCCGAAGAGGCCGCATCATCCCCATGCAGCACCAGTAGCAGCCCTTCCGAGAAGTCCAAGCGCAAAGCCAGTCCGCCAATAGCCGGTGCTCGCAGCAGCAGCAAAGACCGCCGTACCGTCAAAAAGGCACGCAAGACAACCCCGATGATTGAGGAAATCAGCCCGACGCTGCTTACCTGGGTCGTCAGCGCTGGTGTCGTAGTCCTGGTCAGCGCCATTGGTTTCTCAGCTGGCTACGTTGTCGGCAAAGAAACTGGACATGCTGAGGCGATGGGTCACATTGGCACCGCAGGTTCCGAGGCCGGACGCTGCGGTAAGGAAGCTGCTGCAGGCATGAAGGGCACTGGCCTCGGTCTGCGGAAGCTACGATGGGGTTCTGGCGCGGGAATCCGCGTCTAAGTATCCACGATAACGGTGACGACATGACATGCATAGCATTTAGCGAACACGAATTTGCAGGTATTGCGGGCGTTTTCATTCCTTTCTACTACGACAGTATGCATATTGATATCACTCGGCATGGCGCTGGTTTGGCGTTGGGCTTGGTCTGAAAGTTAGGAAGTCTTGGGGTCGTGGCTACGACTCCGTGGAAAGTGAGAAGATAGTTGGTGCTGTTGCATGCACGTATAATGTATCCGGATTGCTGGTCTGTTAGCTACGATGGCAGTTATAGACTCAATATAGGCATTTATTTCTATCATCCATGCGTTGCTATCAAAATCGGAGCAGCCCGTGAGGTCGTGCTCTTGCAAGACGTTCATCGACGACAGTTGCAAGTAGGATAGTATTACTTCTCCATAGGGTCGTCCTCTTCCGCTATAGCCTTGGTGTCCAATGACTTACTTTTCATAGATGTAGACTCATCGTCATCGCCACCAGTCCCTCGTCCTCAGGCTCAGCTTCTTCGTCGGGCGTTGTCTCTTCGTCGGACGTTGTCTCTTCTTCATCCACGTCCGTTTTCCCCTCATCGTCGTCTTCATGCTTCAACGCATTTGTGACTTCAATTGGCTTACGACGAGTGTTCTTCCTAATCGCCTCGCAAAAGGCCTCGCACTCGCGCTCGAGCACATCATCATCCTGGAGCCAACAGATCAACCTAACGCTTACCCTCTCGAGTCCCAGCATGTTTTTGAACTCCCTGGCGAACATTCTGCTCAAAGTAGTCAAGTTCGGCATACAGCCCTTTATGTCGTAGAAGATTATCTCTAGAGCCTTGATCGCTTCGAGCTGGTGCGGCTCTAGCTGCTCAACTATCTTGAAAATCTTTTGGTCGTCTATGATGATTACGTTGTTTTTGAATAGTAGTGTAGACGTGTCTGACCGGATTTGGCGGCAGGTAGACACTACGTCTAGTAGATCGGTGGGCTCACATCCTTCCGGTTGGTAGTCTGTCTCGCTCGTGCGATAGTGATGATGTGAGCGACCGAAGTAGACGCTACCAACCGAGAAGACGTAGTTGTAGATCTTATTTCGAACTTCTCCTGGCAGCTTTAGGAGTGGCGACTCGAGCTGGTTGCGTTGTGTACTGTTAATGTAGTCAGCATGGGGATCTATCATGGTGACTTCAACGTTCAGACGTACATTGTATCTGCCTCGGCCATTAAATCTTCTTTATCGGACATGGTTGAGTGCAAGTCGTAGGATGTCTAGAGTTGCGGAAGAGTGTTAAGTAGACTGTAGGTGTGACAGAGGGAACAAATACAGGGAGCAAGATTTTTGTATCACGCCCGATGTTGATAGTCTTCGGTGAAAGGATAGGGTGTGACTTCCTTGTTATGTATTGCCCTGTGAAGCTATCACTACGGTATCGCGGGATCTGCGTAGACATTCATTCCATTGTCACGTAGAAATGAAGAGCGAGGAGTGAAGAGCAAATTGGACATGCGGTTCTATGTCACCGTTCGCTTCATCAGGCACACGGAATACAAAAGATGGGTGCAAGTGATGTAAAGAATGCTTGATTTGTTTAGGTGAATAGCTCCATCCTCTTTCAGTCAGCCAAAGAGCACCCTTTCCCATCTGTTGCTCCAATATTTGCCTCTACGCCACGACCAGATTTCATTGGCCAGCTGGAGTCGTATGAATCCATGTCTTCGACGGCCTCGTGCCGACAGCTAAGCGGAAATTTTCACAAAATTCCTAAGAATCGACCACGATGTCTACATCATCTCGACCGAGTCCCTTCTCGACAGCCTCGACTAAATGTATACGCCCCGATAGTCCCAAATTTGGACAGCAGTAAACTTCCACGCGCTTCAGCCCCGTCAGCACTCTGACCTCTGGCCACAGAATGGCCCATACTTTGCCATCTCTAGCGTTCATGTAATGCGCACGTATGATTGATATGGCCTGACGCTGAGTGGTGTTCAGTCTCTCTATTTGATTAGGGAACGAGGACCTTATGATATCCATAGTGCATAGTTCGAATGGTAGAGTCTTGGTCTCCGCGTAGAGCTGCCGAGACACGAGCGTCAAGCCGACGCGTCGATGGAGAGGTGTGAGCGAGACGGACGGATCATAAGACAATGCAGAAAGGAGGGCGAATTTCCTGGTTCTGTAGGAGATGCGAAGCTCCATACCACCGAGCGCATATCCGTAGATCTTGTTCCGTATCTCAGCAGGTAGGCGAAGAAGAGGTGAGCGCTGGCGGTTCATCTCGGAGCTATACATCGCGTTAGCTTTCGCAAAACGTCGTGCTACTTCAAACTTACATGACTTCGGCGGCTTCGCTAGAAAGTCTCTCGCCCGAAGGATCGATGATGGTATCGTAATAAGTTGGCATATTGTTCATGTAGAGTTTGCGCGTTCCGAGGGGTAGCTGTGGGAAGTTGAAGAGTAAGTAGAAGTGGAAGTGACAAGGTAAGTGACAGTGCCAAGACTAGTCTCATCTTCACTTTGGCCAGTGGTCGCACCTGCCTTCCAGAACCTCTCAACTAGGGAGAGAAAGCGAGTGAAAACAAACAAAACGTGGCTTCCAATAACTCATCCCAAGGGAGTCAACCTAGCTGCCGAGGTACACAGACAACACAGAAGACTACATTGCCTCAAGATATTTTGTAACTCTTGGTTCCATACTAATGTAGACGCCAGCGCACCTGTTACTCAAGTAGCATGCCGGCTGCTACTATACTGTCGATTGGAACGTGTGTCATCGTCTCCGTGTGGAAAAATAACGTGAATTGCCCCACGATCTTCTCGTGGCATCATAGAACATCCACTTCAGCACAAATCTGCAAAGATCAACGAAGTAGAGTAAAACTAAATGTATCCTTGAGTACCTGGCCATAAGAGCGGTAAACTTTTCAAGTAGATTGAAAGTAAAAGGAACTGATACAACTCCCGCTGATCGACTCATGAAGCTGATCACAAGCTTGAAACGCTATACACATGAGAACATAATCTTCATCCCGATCATCCTGTCCCAAGATCTTAAACCGACCCGACCCTACATCTGGATATATCTCTTACAAAGAACCATTCCTTTTCCGATAAAACATCAACATTGCCGTAGTAACCAACAAGTTTCTTCCTCTATGGTCGACCACCAACGAAGTCGCTCCATGACCTGACTTCACTTGGGATGCCCTCCTTCTTGGGAAGCTTCTCGCTCATGCATTGAGCGAACAGAACGGCAGTCTACGTTCATGTTAGCTTCTTATTTCACGAATATCAAAATGATGAACTTACCTTGGGCTCCATGAATAGCGGAACACCGAAGTCCACTGCGTTCCTCCTCATTACGTAGTCCTCGTCAAATAGGCCACTCGCCCTGTACTTGGCCAAGTTGAAGCAGCCACGGATGTCGTTCTTCTCAAACACCTCACGGAGTTTCCTCTTGTCATCCTTGGGGAACTCGATGACGTCGACGCTGATACCCTCGGTGTTCTTCTCCAGAAGCTCCTTGACGTCCTTGTTGGCAGCAAGGAACCTGTAGCCAAGTGCGTGGACGTACTTGGCGATCTGGATAAGGGAGTTTGCGTGGAGCGAACCGGGTGTGACATCACCACCGAAGAGGAGACCCTCACCGGGCTGGGGAAGACGGAAGTTCATCTGCGATTGTGCGGAGGCCCAGTAGGCCTCGACCAGGTCCTTACCGAAGCAGGCCATTTCACCAGTAGATGACATCTCTACGCCAAGGTAGGGATCAGCACCCGCCAACCTAGTCCAGGAGAACTGGGGAACCTTGGTGGCGAGGTAGTTCCTCTCAACGCTCATGAGGTCAGTTGGCTCGGGCACGTCACGGCCAACGAGAGCCTTTGTAGCAACTTCGATGAAGTTGGTACCAAGGACCTTGCTGACGAAGGGGAAGGAACGAGAGGCACGGAGGTTGCACTCGATGACCTTGAGGTTAGGCTCGGAGCCCTCAACTTCTTCCTTGATGATCTGCATGTTGAAGGGACCAGTGATGTTCCAGGCCTTGGCAACCTTGTCTGCGATCTCCTTGACACGTTCCTGGATGCGCTTGTCGAGGTGGACAGGGGGCAGCACGAGGGTGGCATCTCCGGAGTGAACACCGGCGTTCTCAATGTGCTCACTGACAGCGTGGACAAGGACGTTTCCGTTGGAGGCGACAGCGTCGCAGTCAATCTCTTGAGCGCCGTCAATAAACTGAGTGATGACAACTGGGTGGTCGGGCGAGACGTTGGAAGCAGCAAGGAGCTTCTCCTTCAGCTCGTCCTCACCGCGGATGACAGTCATGGCAGCACCTGACAGGACGTATGATGGGCGAACGAGAACTGGGTATCCGACGGAGTTTGCGAACTTCTTTGCCTCCTCATAGGAAGTAAGCTCCTTCCAGGCGGGCTGATCAACACCGATTGAGTCCAGAATGGAAGAGAACTTGTGGCGATCCTCGGCCTTGTCGATGTCGTGAGGGTCGGTTCCGAGAACCTTCGCCTTTCCAGACTCTTGGAGCTTGAGAGCAATGTTCTGGGGAAGTTGGCCACCGACAGAGACAACAACACCGCTGGCAGTCTCCAACTCGTAGATATCCATGACACGCTCGTAACTGAGTTCTTCGAAGTATAGCTTGTCAGCAACGTCGAAGTCGGTCTGAAAAACGGTTAGTTCGGTCCAATGTATGCGTTCATGCAACCTACAGAGTATGTCTCGGGGTTGTAGTTGATCATGACAGTCTTCTTTCCGAGCTCGTTGAGGGAGCGGGTGGCGTTGACGGCACACCAATCGAACTCGACTGAGCTTCCGATACGGTAGACACCGCTTCCAAGAACGATGATGCCATGGTCGTCAAAGGTGACATCGTGAGAGGAGGCGTTGTAAGTGGTGTAGAGGTAATCTGTAAACTGTTAGCAACGCTCATAAATGAAGGGAAGCACTTGTGAACGCACTAGTGTCGGCAGGGAATCTATGGTAGTTCAGTCAGTATGTGTCTCGCATGGGGTTTAGATAGGAACATTGCTTACTCTGCAGCCAGTGTGTCAATCTTCTTGACCCATGGCTTGACACCGAAGCTCTTCCTGCGAGCGCGAACCTCGTCTTCAGTGCTGTTGACGGCCTTGGCGATCTGCTTGTCAGAGAATCCGAGCTTCTTGGCCTTGAGGATGATCTCCTTCTTCAGGCCGAACAAGCTGCCTATCTCCTCAAGCTCGTGTGTGCAGTCGACGATGTTCTGGAGCTTGTGCAGGAACCACTTGTCGATCTTGGTGAGGTCGTGAACCCTGTCGACAGTGTAGCCTTCGTGGAAGAGCGCCTGACCGACGGCGAGCCATCGGCGATCGGTGGGGTTCTTGAGCTCTTCGTCCAGGCTCTCGCCGTACTTCTCGCCCTGGAAACCGAGGTACTTGGGGTCGACTTGGCGGCAAGCCTTCTGGAAAGACTCCTCGAATGTACGGCCGATGGCCATGACTTCACCGACGGACTTCATGGAACTGCCGATGTCGCGCTTGACGTTCTGGAACTTGCTGAGATCCCATCGGGGCATCTTGGTGACGACGTAATCCAAGCTGGGCTCGAAGTTCGCGGTGGTGGTCTTGGTGACGGCGTTGGGCAATTCAGGGAGAGTGTGTCCAAGACCAATCTTGGCCGCGGTGTACGCGAGAGGGTAACCAGTGGCCTTGGATGCCAATGCAGATGAACGAGAAAGACGAGCGTTGACTTCGATAACCCTGTAGTCGAGGCCATCTGGCTGCAGGCAGTATTGCACGTTGCACTCGCCAACGACTCCCAAGTGACGGACGATCTTGATGGACGCAGAACGGAGCATGTGGTATTCCTCGTCGCTGAATGTCTGACTGGGCGAAACAACGATACTGTCACCAGTGTGTACACCAAGAGGATCAAAGTTCTCCATGTTGCAGACCGTGATGCAGTTGTCGCTTGCGTCGCGCACAACCTCATACTCGGCCTCCTTCCAGCCCTTCAGGGACTTCTCGACCAAGATCTGGGGCGAAAGTGTGAGGGAGCGAGCTGACAAGTTCTTCAACTCCTCAGGGTTGTTCGCGAAACCTGAACCGAGACCACCGAGCGCATAAGCAGCACGGACGATAATGGGGTATCCGACCTTCTCGGCAGCGTCCAGTGCCTCGTCGACAGTGGAAACGGCAATCGACTTGGCGATGGGGATGTTGATCTCATCGAGCGCGCGAGCGAAGAGGTCACGATCTTCACTGGTCTTCAAAGTCTGGACGCTGGTTCCGAGCACCTTGACGCCGTACTTCTCGAAGATACCCTTGGCATCCATCTGTACACCAAGGTTCAGCGCAGTTTGTCCACCGAAGCTGAGGAAGATGCCATCGGGCCTCTCCTTCTGGATGACATATTCGGCGTATTCGGGAGTTACAGGCAGATAGTAGATTTCGTCGGCGAGCACGTGGGATGTTTGGATGGTAGCAATATTAGGGTTGAGAAGAACAGACTTGACGCCAGCTTCCTTCAGGGCTTTGAGTGCTTGCGAACCTGATGCTTGGTTAGCATGGCGCAAGTTTGCGTGTGCGTGAGAATGTATGCGCACCTGAGTAATCGAACTCTCCGGCTTGACCAATGCTGAGACCACCGCTACCAATGACTAGGACTTTCTTGACATCGACCAAGTTCTGCGCGCCAGAAATGACGCCGCTCTTCAGGTATGCCTCTGCATTAGGCGCAGTCTGTGTCTTATTCCATGTCGACGCGACCTTTGTGAATGCCCGCAGCTGCCGGAGGGCGGCAGGTGACTCTGTGCTGGAGCGGAGCGAAGTCAACGGCCGAGCACTTCGGGTTGTGAAACTTCGAGAGTATGTGGAAGGAGCAATAGAGCGGGTGTGACCTGTAAGGGAAGGTACGCGACGTGCTAGACGTCCGCAGAGAGCCATTTGCAGGCAGTCAAGCAACTGGGTAGCTTCGGGCTCGACAAAGGATGAGGATGGAGGATCAGGCGTCGAACGCGCGGGAGGAAGGTCGCTCGGTGGCCGACGGGTGCAATTGAAGGCTTATAGCTCGACCCAGTTGAGCAGAGCACGAATGACTCCCTCCGGGTTTATGTATAATCTGTGGGGAAGATGTGATGCGGCAGCCAAAAAATTCCAATGATGCGCGACGGGCCAATCAAGCTATCTCCGATAACGCACAGATAAGACCGTCGGCGATCCTGGGAAACGGGAGGGACGAAGCGTGGTATGCGGTCATTTACTGCCTCTATTTAATTCGCATTTCTTCAAATTGATCCACTCATTATACGCGACCCAGTCACAAGTAAGCCCGATGTAAATGCGAATTGCTCTGTTTGCTACCATCTTGTCGCGAGCAACATCGATGCGGAGCACCGATTGCGGCGCCGAAACTCTG